ACACCAAAAACAATGGCTCGGTCCTAGACAAAAAAACACTTTCGATCCCAAAACCTGGACTCCATCCGCAGAAAGTGATGCTTTGCATTTGGTGGGACATCAAAGGAGTAATTCATTTCAAACTCCTCAATCCACAGCGAACTGTCAATACAGAGATCTATAGTCAGCAACTGGAACGTTTAAATCAAGCCCTTCATCAGAAACGCTCGTCAATCGGAAAGGTGTTCTTCTCCACGGCAATGCATGTCCACATGTGGCACGTTTGACGCAACACCAGATTATGGAGTTGGGTTAGAAGTTCTCCCCCACCCACCATATTCCCCAGATATGGCACCGTCAAATCACAATCTTTTTCATTCGCTGCAACGCCATCTTAATGGGATAATGTATGCAAATGTGAAAGTGTTAAAGAGGACATCGACATCTTTTTTTGCTTCAAAGCCAAGTGATTTCTTTAATCAGGGCATAAACCAGACTGTAAGATGTAAAAGCATCATCGATAAGAATGGAGACTATTTCATTTAATAAATGTTTTGTTTTGATATACAAGTTGTTTGGGTTTTTCATCTAAAATAAGCGACATTAATTTCTTGACGAGCTAATACTATGTGTTTTTTCATCTGTTTTTGCAATCGTATGGTGAATACGGCACTCGATTCGCAATCTCTGGATGCCGGGTTCGAATCCTACCACAGAACATGCCGTGGGGACGTTATAATGTGACTGTTAATCCCACTATTCGTATATAAGAGTTGGCGGTGGGTGATGATGACTAGCTGCCTTCCATCTAGTCTTACACTGCTAAATTAAGGACGGTTATCGCAGATAGCCCTCGTGTAGCTTTGCGCGAAAACTAAAACCAAACCACTAAAATCTGAAGTCAGAAAAAATGCAAAATCTTTAAATATTTTACTGATTTTCACAGTCAATATTGAACTTTAGAAAAATACTGCCGCAAACCATTCAAATATTTTATAGCGTGTATAATCCATGTTCATATACCTTAACTGTTTTAAACCCAATCTTAGAATGACATCATATAGTGAAATAATAGTTTTCACTCTATGAAAAACTACAAACAACTTCATAACCTTTTCCCCATCTTTTCTACAGCCTCTACTAATAATTGTACCTTTATGCTTCTTCTATTGTTTTATTAATAACTACGTGTTAAAGTTGTCTATGTACTGTATAAAGTCTTGGTTTGGGGCAATTTCCAAAAGAATTGTTGTTGGCATTGAGTCCAAAATTTTATGGTCTTTGTCGGTAAAATCTGGTCTCAAAAAAAAAAACAAAAAAAAATTACTTATATTTTAACTACATTATAAACTGTAGAGTGGGACTCCTCTGAAAACAGGACAACCACATCGGCAGGAAGAAGAAGTAGGTCACAGAGAGGGCTCTGACCTGTTGTTTGCCAGTTTCGCACGTGGCGCTTTAAATAGCGGTTCAACACACGCGCTGTTGAATCGATTGTGAGGGAAGCGAGGGCAGGTTGTTTACATCGAAGACCATAGTAGCAAGTAGTCCTTCCATGAATAGATTGTTTTATCGATTTTTAGCTACCAAAGTTCTCGTTTCTACCTCTCTCTCTCTCTCTCTATTCGTACTATAATATGTC